GCAATTCCTGTTTTTAGACTACACTATTTTTGAAAACACTATTTTATAACATGTATCTTAGTGCCATCTATTTTTCTCATATCACTATTAAGTTCACTGTTTCAATTAAGAAATAAATCAAAACTAAAAAAATTCAATGTGTTCCAGGCTCTAAACCAATTTTGCAATTTTCCCCACTTAGTAACTTGTAGGGACTTGATTTCACAATTTATTTTTTCTTTAATCAAATGTCACTAATTTTTGAGGGTACTTTCTTGAGATCAGAGAGGTGCAGAGGAGTTACGTCGAACATGGTCGTGAAGGTTAGGGAAGACACACTGACAAAACCAAACTCTTCCTTGAATGTGTTTACAAGCTGAATAAAACAAAAGCAGTGAAGGTATATAAACAACAAATTCCAAGTGCCATCTTTAGTGTCTTAAATATCAAAAAAATATATTCCAAAGCTACAGAGATGAGAAAAAGTAAGTGCAGCATCAGAATATAGCCAACACTGGATGGGGTTTGTTACTAGCAGATCTCTAGTTGTCAATACCATGACAACTTCTCCTTCTTGCCCTACTGCTTAGATGGCTACACTTCAGTATTTGACTTCCAGTGAAAGAGGAGGAATTAGTACACAAGTAAGGTTCTCTGGCTCCAAGACCAACAGTGTGTGAGGAAAAGCTCCCAGCATTTTCCCACACCATGGAGCATTCAATGGCACTCCACTCTTTGAAGTAGCATGCACCACACATTAACTGGATTAATTTAAGTAAGTGAATCCTAAAACAAACAAACAAACCAAACCCAAAACCCCCACAACCAACCAACAAACTAAAACCCAACAAAAATTCCCTCCCCCCTAAAACAAGGAAGAAAAAAGGAAAAAAGAAAGCTCAAACCTTTTCTGATGCCAATGCATCTACTGGCAGTGCCCTTTGGGCTCTCACAAGGGGGAAGATGGATATTTGACATGTCATTAATCTATCCAACCTTCTTCACTAACCTGAGTTTCATGCACTAAAACCAACAATTACGAGGAGCAGTTCAACGCACTAAGACCAACCAAGTGGCAGGCTGAAGACTTCCTTCTCTGCTCTTCAACATCTAAGGACAAGCTAGGATCAAACTACCTCTCACCCTGACTTCTAGCAAGTCTACCTGCTCGGTTCATAGCAGTTAGGACACTAATACTGGTTCCCCCTCACTCTCCCAGGGTTCTCTGAACAATGATTACATTTTAAATTAATTACTTCCTACAGAAAGGGTTTGTATGGATGGTTTAGCTTGAGGAGGCCCGAAATTCTGAGTTTTCAGATAAAAATGGCTAACCTACAGTTGGAAGTTGCAAGGGATTCCAGAAACACGTGTGGCAGCATTTCAGAGTTCTCTACCCTTCTCATCACCTATAGATGCAACTTCAGGTTACTGCCACCAGCCCTGAAGCATTTCAGCTGAGATGCCAGAGAAGGCATTTCTTAAGAGGCTCTGGGAGAGAAAAGATACCAACTGATCTTAAGACAAAAACTTAGCTCCTTATTACATTCCACCTTTTCTTCTTTCCTATTTTTCTTTCAAATCTGCAGCAATCTTCATACTGACAACTTATTTTTCAGTATTAACAAGGAAACAGTATTCTAGATGTCAACCACTCTTCCCAACAGCACTGGCTGAAACAATTACATATTAAAATGCATATATGCCCAGTGAAGCAGAGCAACAATAAATAAAGACTGTGGTTTATTCATTTGCTTCAAACATAGAGCAGTAGTACTCTGCAAAATTAGCAAGCCTGTACTCTTGTTTGCATTTCAACTGGGGAATCTCTTTTCCAAAAGTAAAACACCCTTTACTATAACTTTAAAAAAGATTCTGTGAGGGTGAAAAGTACCAACATTTCCTGCTTTTTTTACAGCACAAATTAATTTTGTGAAAAGTACCAACATTTGCTGCTTTTTTAACAGCATAAATGAATTTTCTGATGGCTTATTTGTACACACAGTACAAAATATGTATTCCCTGATAAACTGGAAAACAGTAGAGGCAGCTGTATATACCCTTCAACATTCAGACAGTTCAGTTATGGAAGTTCACAGCTGCAGAGCATCTACAGCAAGCAGAAGGCTTGGATGGACAGTAAAGCAAGTGGAAGTGCAGCTACTGGGGGAAGAAAAGTACATCTACACCTCTGTACACCTTTACAGGCCATGTACTGCACAGGACTAAACCTTTTGTTCAGAAATACAATAAATGACATTACTTTAACAACTGAAAAGTAACTGCATACACAAAAATAGAAATTCTTGGGTTTTCTTCCCAATACATTCCTGACTCTACCTGCCAAGTCAGTGCATATGTCAGCATTTCATTACTGTGACCCAGCTGCTTGCAAGTCTACTCAGTGGGTAGCCGAAAAGCTCGTATTTTCTAGTGTTTTGACACACTTGTTTTGAAATCCAGCATTCATGAGCATTCGTTAAATTACCACCTAAAGTGATTTATTAAGAGGAACTGCTAGCACCAAGACTGCTTAGAGCAAGGCAGATTTTCCTAGACTACCTTGTGAACCAGATTTTAATCAAAAAGTCTACCAGGAAGGGTAGGTATATAAATGCCAATGCATTTTGTTCACAACATCCAAGCACATGGCTATTTTGGAGCCTTAAATACCTCTGGGCTTGATTCACTGGTGCTGTGCCCTGTGTGTGGCTGCAATTTAGCAATTGAGAATTTGGTATAAAAGCCAACAGTACCAAATCAGAACAGCAGAGATTTTTGTGCTTGCTCTGCAGTGGTTTGAAAGAACATGGGCAAACAAAAAAAGGTTTGGTTTATTCAGTGAAGTTTTACCTTGTGTAACCCCTAAAAGATGTGAAAATGGTTTTATGAAATTGGATTAAAAAGAAAAATAAAAAGTCAAATAACTTGTGCTCACAGGTATGATTGAGCCTCTTTTAACTTCACACGTGTTTTGATACTGGGATTCACTAATAATTTCAAAAAGAAATGGTTCTCCCCTCTTGCTCGACATTTATGTATTTACTCATTACAGAAGAGCAGACTTACAGTAGCAGTCTAGGTGGCCCAAAGCTTTTTGGTAGCACAAGTAAAACTCAAGTTTTCCCACGCTAAGGAGAAGCCAGCACTGTGTTTCTTAGGGCAGGAAGGAGAACAGCTTGGGAGGACACTCCAGAGCGAGGCTCATGCTATTACTGCTGTAGGGAGGCAAAAAGACAACGAT